TACCCCTCCCCCTATGAACATCAGCAGAGACTGCTTTTTAATGCCAATTGGGGGGACCAACGGGGGATCTCTAGTTGGTGGGCACCAAGCATGCCCAGGAAGGTACATGAGGCCAATGGGGATTGAACCCAAGACCTCCTCAATGCCACTTGTGTGGCTTGCTGAGCTAGGCCGCTGGACGAGTCTAAAATTTCAGAGTCAACGTTACTGTTGTTTTCATGAGATTCCCCCACAGGGTTGTTACTGTCCCAGAGGATTAGGTGTCAGGGTGTTCTTCGTGCCCTTTTTAAATGTGTGCAAAGTATAGAAACTGCAGACATATCTGGTCTGCTGTCCATATCCACATCCTCTGTCCACTTCGGGGATTGCCTGTCCAACAGACCGTCTGTACAGCTTATTGCTTTTTTCTGCATGCCTTCGAATATTATCATAGTGGTTGTCGATTCGATTTGCCCCTGTACTTGATTGCGATGTCTGTTTTTTTTTTTTTTTTTTGTGTGTGTGTGTAATGGCCTTGTACGGGTTTACACTGAGCTCCACAATTTATTTTTTTTGTTTCATTTTTGTTTATGTTTTTGGGAGAGCTCTAGAGCTCCCAGCAAATCATGGAGTTTCTGAGGAAATCACTGAGCAAATTTGAGTTGTCGCTGACTGTATCAGAGTAGCGTGGTCGGATCCATAATTGAAGGTAAGGAAGGTTCAACTTGCATACAGAACTTTCTCAATTGAGCCCATACTCACATGAGGAGTTTCCTGTATGTATGTGACCCTTGTAGCTGCACCTGGATGCACGTCACCGCAATTTGTTTTATTCCCTCCCCCCAACCCCCCCCTGGGGATCAGCACATGCTGGGAACTGGGCCCGGTGGCCCTTATAGGATTATACGAGAATACATGAGAATAATATGATGTTTGAAGGTACATTTGGAAAATCCGAAACCGTTGAACGGCTTTGATTAAGTGATAATAAGACTGACTATGAACCATACCAAACCTTGCCTCTGCGAAGCCCTACACTCCTATTGACGCTGACATCTATTCCAAATCTCAGAACTAGCTGTCCTGCTCCCAGATCCAACCCTGGCCGTACTCCCTCGACCTGCAAGGATACAGGGCAGCACGACCTGCCCCGGCTCAGACCATTGCTGAACTGGCAGCAGTCCATGATTGGCCAGCGAGTCACCTTCCGCCCTCGACACAACACCAGCTAACCTTCTTCCCCCTAATGCAACATACGGTCATTATAGGTCTATTTGAGGCATCTTTCTGTCTAGATACAGCCATAATGACCGTACGTTGTATTCGGGGGAAGAAGGTAGACCCTGAAAATGAATTGCACCTCACGGCATATAGCCTCACAGAGTACTGAGAGAAGTCCTAGCGTGTGTGTGTATGTCCTGAATTTGGAGGTCTTTGACATCAAATGCCATTCCGGAGAGTCCCAGACCACTTCAAGGGTGTGTGTGTGCGCCCCGACTTGGTCCAAACCCAGACCACTCAAAGGGCCTCTCTCCACTCCGCTTCACATGCACAAAAGACAAAGGATTTGGCGCTGCTACTTTCCATGTTCTAGCGGAAGATTCGTTCTCCTTTTGCACATAAGGAGAGTTGAGTGAGGCCCCAAAGCAAAAAAGCCAATTATCAAGCCTCCCGATGCAGATCAAGCCACCTCTCTTCCCAATTATTGATGCTTCTGCCAATTACTCAATCCCATTGTGCCAGATAAGGCACAGATAGCGGCACTCCTTTGAACTTTTCCCAGAAGGGCATACGTCCAGCTGTTGTACAACACTAGAGCTTTCTCAAACAAACAAACAAACAAACAAACAAACAAACAAAAGAAACAGAACCGAGTGCCACATACTTTCCGTGTGGAGGGTGGTACTACATGGTCCTTGGGTGGCAATCGGTAGTAAGGGGAACCATGCCCATTTCTTGGCTTCTGGGATTACATGTGGGCTATCTTGAACAAAAGACGCCTTGCCGTCAAGAACATACAGAACATGCTATGACCACAGTGAATGTTCTCTGGACCTTCAACTCCTGTTGAGAGCATCCAAAAACAAGCAATAAACAACGGTGGCCGTGGCAGGTTCGAAATGTGCAAATAGGCAAAAAATAACACAAAATGGCACTGGGGCAACGGGCACAGTTCGAAAAGGCAAAAGAAACAGGAGCAAGCAATGATGTCAGGCCCCCAGTTCGAAAAAGCGGTAATGGCAGGCTTGATGTGTCCCGGTATACCCCACCCGCGGTCCCACAGGCTGTTTGGTGCCGTTTCCAAAAGTCTGCCGTTTACTGCACATGCTCGTAGGCCAGGCGTAGGACAGATTCCGAATTCATGTGCGAATCCTATCGTGGAGGCAGGCAACCTCCGTTGGAATCTCCGGCCGGTGGATCAAGCCACTCCGGTCAGTGCTGCCTTGGAGCCACGTGCCGCACAAAACACACACACACACACACACACACACACACACACACACACACACACAAACACAGACAGACAGA